TTCCAGCTCATCCCGTTGCTCGTAGTTGTGCTGAACGAGCATTCTCGAGGGCCGTTTCAGACGCCCGGCCGATGGCACTTCCATTGCTGTACACGAGTTTCACTGGCTCACGCAAAATTTCCACCTATAAAAAGCTCTCAGTGGATGGGGCTTCTTGATAAAACAATGTCGCATCCGGCTTGAGAGCCGCAAAAATCACTTCATCTGCCTCACCAAGGCCTCTTTTTGAAAAGGGATATTGGGCAGATGAAGTGATTTTGCCTCTCTCTCTCTATGCCAGATGCAGCAGCCTGAGAACAGATTGATTGAGCCGATGGCTTACAGTCGTGGTGTTGAGCTAAGACGTATATGATTTAATGGACCGAAACGTCTTATCTCATCCCTTCTTCCTTTCCGCATTCTTTTCTGTGCGGTATCTTATACAAGCCTTCCTTATTTTGACACCCAAGGTCAATCTGGACGCTACAATCAGCTTACAGAATGGTACAATGCGTTGCCGAACTACGGAAAAACCTTCGCTTGTAGTGGAAGGAATGTCTCCAAGGAGTTATACGGACGTGATTAGTCCGAAAAAGGGGAGATACTGCAAGAAGTTACAAATACTGGCACAGCGCCAAGGCGGCTTTTGGGCCTGTAGACTTGTGTGGTACTACCGCAGCATGCCCTCAGTGGAAACAAATCCTTGCGAAGGCGGGGAAATATCTCAACCCCCCTCCCTCAATTTCAATTTCTAGCTCATATTTTCTAGTAATATCCCCACCTCTCCCTGTCCTTTTGAAGTTATAAAAGCCCTGCTTTCACAAGCCTATCCATCCTGGAGTGATGTTAGAAGCCAGTTCGGGAAAGCTTGGATTTTTTATAACGCTCGGCTTTCGATAGTTTGTGAAAGCTCGGCTTTCGTGCCCTTCGTCTCTTCCTTTCGGAATCATCAAATACCCATAAGTAACCCGTAAACAAGGGCAAGAGAGTATACCAAATTAAGCCAAAATTTCCGAAAATTATTTTGCAAAAAACCCCACATAACCAAATCAATCTTTTCTATTTCCCATACCGGAGAGGAGAAAAGAGAATGTGTAAAACCTACCTACTTCTGCCTCAAAATTTCTCGGAAAATGGGATCAAACTATGAAAAAAGAGCACTGTCCATGCAGTAGTGTAAGTGCATTAGAAATGGTCTGCCAAACCAAACTTCACGCAGAAAGCATCAAAAAACAAAAACAACAACAACAGCAACAACAACAGTTAATTTATTTCCATGGCTTCCGCAAAATCAGGCACAAATAACAATCCAGAACAAAAAAAACGCAATTTTTCTTTTTTTTTTTTGGTGAAATGGAAAATTATATTTTTTTCGTATCAGAAAAAGAAGCCAAGAATTTTGCCACCCAAATGTTTCCTTCGTGCCTCCTCATGGTCCATAATTCCGCCTGATGTTGTCAATACAAGATGTCTGAAAATCACTCATTTATCGGCAGTACATGATTATCTCGTGATACAATAAAATGTAGCACTTCAACCGAATAGAACAGATCGAAAGTTTTTTTCTGGTTTTGTAGGGGTCGAACAGTCCTGCTCTATAAGTCCGGTGATAGAGCACACCCCAAGTAACTATGATGCTTTCTCACAGGCAATCCTCCAAAGACTCCAGTCAATTCTTCTGCGATTCGTTCATTCGTTTCGATGATAAATTGGTACTGGCATGTACAAGACAGTTAGCATCCCGTCTTCAGCTTGCTTATAAATAAAAAATCTCGAAAATGGAGAACTGCTGATAGCCCAAATTATCAGTGCATGGCTGTTGTTACGCTGC